TCTAGTGGGGGATTGTTAGAGAGATTGTAATATATCTCTCAATTTTGATATCACAAAATTGGATTAAAACACATTCGGGAAGAGTGGGCTGATACAAGTGCGCGCGGCAGCACGCTTGTGCGCTGCAGCCTGCACAAAACAGACCTCTCGGGTCTGTTTTGCTAGGCCCGCGCGCTGCAGCGTACAAAAGCATGCGCTGCAGCGCGCGGCTGGGCACTGCAGCCTGCGCAAAACAGACCTCTCGGGTATGTTTTGCTAAGCCCGCGCACAGCAGCGTGCGTTGCAGTGCACGGACGTGCTGCAGCGCTACTCTTGGGCGGTGCAGCGTAAATTATTAACGGAAAATGTGTTTTCGTGCGTTTTAGAGATCTGAAAAGGTCTCGAACCATTGCATCTATTTGTGATATGTGTTCTCACATATCTGAGCACTTATTAACAATAGAAATAACTATTGATATAAGTGCATCAGCATATAAAAGATAACCATCAAATTGAAAAGGTATCTTTATGTGAAAAGTTGTAACACTTAAAGATGATAGATGCATCCCTGTCTTTATTTGATGGACTTGAAAAAATACAGATTATTATTGTTCTGGAACTCAATATTTTTTGCTGGATATTGTGTTCAAGGGTTTGTTGTATCTTGGGGGTAATTTGCCATTTAAAACTCATTAGCAAATTTTGAAAAGTGCGGGCAAATAAAATCTTAAAAGAAAGTATTTCTATACGCCTCAAACCCTCTTTCTGCATTCTCTATTCTTTTCATCCTCCCAATTCCGAATTTCTCCATCATGCATCGTCTGTATAATCTTTGAATGTAAGATATATATATATATATATATATATATGGACATTTACATGATACAAATAAAAACTTGTCATTTCATACACAGAATGGAGTCATCATAAGAAAGTGAAAATTACTATTCCATTATAACAATTTAGGAATACATCTAAAATTCATAAATGGAATAAATTTTCTATTGTTCCCCTCTGTAATATTTTCCTTACAATATTGTATAATATAATACTACGTGGAGATATCCACCATTAACATATACGGATATCTAATATATTAGAGATATTTTTCTTTCTCAAAATAACCTAAACATAAATCTATGACTAGCAACAATGGTAAAATCATGCCAAATCTGATCCTCTCACATTTGGTGATTTTCAGGTCTTCCTTGAAACTTGAAGGCCAAAAACCTAAACAAATATATTAAAAAAGAAAAATGAACGGAGACGGCTGAAGAAACCACTCCCACGTCCCCAGCGAGTTCCCAGATCAGACGTCCTCGGTGGAAGAGTTACGACTGATGCATCTGATCACTGCAGCCCACTCTGACATCGATGTCGAACGACATCCGACTTCCGTTGATGCTGCGGAACCATCCGGTGGCCCGGTAATGATTTCCTCCGGAATCTCCCGGTGCGTGGCGGAAGAGAACGACGCAGGAGGACGGAGAAGGCCTAATGCGTCTTGGCAAGCACCATCTTCCAGTTCAGAAGCGGCGAATGGCCGGGGAAGGAGCCTCCGGATAAGAAGGGCCAACGACGCCGATCAGCCCGCCGGCCGGCTGGAGATTCACCTCCCGTTTGGGCAAAACGAGGCCGAGACATCGGTTCCACCAGTAGTTGACCTGACGCTATCCATCGGGAGTGGCCCATCTGCTCCACCTTCCTTGTTAGGATGTTTAGGGACTAGTGATCTAAGCCATGTGGAAGAATTTGAGGAGTCTGGGATTCTTTTTCAGTAAACCGGGTGTACTCCGCATGGAGAATTGAGCCATTTGGATCTCTTATTGACGTGATATTCTCGGCCTACTGGCGAGTAATTCTTCGGCAAATCGGATTCTGATATTAGTGAAAACCTAACCGAAAAATAGGTCTCTGTGTGCATGTTTACGTGAGGATTTAGGATAAAAGAGAAATAAAACTTTTTGGGATGAATGAAGAGAGATTTGGATAGTGGGGGAAATTGGTTTTGAGAAATAAAAGTGATAGCTAGAGCAGCGCCCTCCATTGATGAGTGTGTACCCTCCATGTTTTCTAAACAATACAGAATGATACCTTTTTATAGGAACTTAGACTTGAACTACACAGCCAACAATTCTATAATTGTTTGGATTCGCCCAAACAATTATGGAGTGTTTGTTGTTTACTTTTTTTGGCTTGATTTTTTTTTTTTTTTTTTACTTTGAAAATTGGTATTTATATTAAATGGTTCTATTTAAAAAAAAATGACCTTTTTTTTATGGCTCGTAAAAGAAAAGCTGAACTTATCTTTCTTTTTTCCTTAAGCAAGTTGAATTTTTCTCTTAAATAGAATAATGTTAGGGATACTAACTCAAATCTCAATTTTTATGTACCAGTTGATGTAACATGTTAGTTGTCACTTTTATATTGATAGATGTTTAAAATATTGTCACGTTAATGAATGATAAGATATTACATCTACTAATAAAAAATGATAATTCACATGCCACGTCAATTGATACACAAAAATTGAGATTTGAGTACACTACTCAATTTACAAATTCACTCCAGTATTTTTACTCTATTATTTAGAGTCTCCATAATATTTAAAGAATTAGGATAATATTCTTCTATTCTATAAATGGTTAATTAGAATTTCTCGTTTTACAGTCAACAAAAAAATTATCTACTAACAATCGCGATTGACAAGGTTGTTCATTTTTCACCGTTGATTAATAAGAGCGTCACGTAAAATCTGTACATGGTTTTTCTTAATCAGCGGTGGATAGGACAATCATGCAAGTGACCATTGTTTGTAGCATTTTATCTGTGAGTAATCTCTAATAATACCAACTTTAATTAATAAAAAATATTTAGTATAGTAACCAGTATGGTTTTTTTCTTCAAAAAAAAAAAAAATCTCTTGTATGTTACTAGAATTTACTCAGGATAACTTCTAAGGATAAAAATAATTACAATTTTTTTTCCCAATAGAAATACGAGGAACTGTATAATTAACATTCTAAAAGATCACGACTACCTTGGATACTCTCATTGATATTCAATGGTAAGTGGATAGTTTTAAGAATGTAAACATAAATGTGATAAATGTTACCATACCAAAAAAAAAAAAAAGATAAAAAATGTCACTATTTCTAAAGGAATAAAATCTGTCATTATTAATTACCATTACATCCAATAGATATCTTACTTATTTAAAAAATAGATATTTTACTTAGTGATAGAAAGATATCCCTCATTAATAATCAGTGTTAAATGGATAGTGTTTAATATTGTTACCATAAGATGTGATAAATATTACCATACAAAACGAAACAAAAAAAAAAAGGTAAAAAGAAACAAAGAAAATCTGCCATTATTAACTAAACATTTCAGTAAACTATGACAAGATTTAGTACTCTTCTATTGAAATATATACAATAGATATTCTACTCTTTAGATAGATATAATATATTTAGATATGTCTAGTAAATGTTGTACTTCATATAGATAGATACTTTCCTCAAAATAAATAATATACAGATAGATAGATAGATACAATATTAACCAGAAATTCTTATATTCCTATTCTTATCTTTAAACTTCTAAACAGTTGCATTGTTTTTCTCGAATAAAGAGAGAATTCTATAAATAAATAAATAAAAAAGGGATAATTAGAGCCAACGATCTACATGGCTAGAAATATCAAAACTAATTTTTGTTTTTAAAGAATAAGTACTAGAGCCTAAGATGCGTTTCTAGCAGACGTCAGAATATTTTAAAACTTAATTTTTTTTAAAAATAATACTAAATGCAAAACAGTCTAATTTAATTGAATATTATTGTTCAAGTAAGTTTACGGGACGAGTCATGGATTGAAAAACTCTATCCGATTAAAGGACGTTTGGTTCATGGATTCAGAATTATGATTCAGAATTATTCTTATTTTATATATTTTTTTTTAAAAAAATACTGTAACAAATCACGAATAATAATTTAGATTATGTTACGAATCTCCAACGTCTCTTTAGTAAATAACTCTACTCCTTTCAATTATACGAGATATTTTAATCATTAATTAAAAGACTAAAATACCCCCTCTTTTACAACCCTAATTCATTTTCTCTTCTTTCTCATCTCTCATCTCTCATGTGTAGGGGTGTTCATAGGTTGGGTTGGTGCGGGATAGAATTTTTTTTCCCCGCCCCAAAGGGTGCGGGTTGCACATATTTAGCCCTAACGATGTTAGAAAAATTTCACAACCCAACGATATTCGAGTTGGGTTGGAGCGGTGTGGAGTGGGTTGGGTGGTCGGTTTCAACATTCAAAAAATCAAAGACTTAAAGTTCAATATAATATTCAAACTTTATCATTAAATAGAAATAACAACCATCTTTATCAGTCCATCTAACATCAAACATGAAGCAAAGTAGTCCATCCAACATCAAATACAAAGCAAACATAAATTAGTCTACACTTATAAATTAGTCTTAACATAAAACAAATAGCTTAAGCAAAGCAAACATAGAGGCTTAAATCTTAATTCAAATCCATCCAAAGCAAGCATTGCAACATCAACCATCTTTATCAATCCACACTCATAAGCTCCTCAATAGTTGTAGTATGACATGAAGTTAAATTATCTACAAGAGAAATGAAAATAGCCTAATGCGGTAATGAATTGAGAGAGTGATTTGCCGTTTGTGAGCACTTGCCTCGCCTGCCCTAATGGCTAATGGCCTAATGCGGTAATGAATTGAATGGGCCGAAGGCTTGCTGGGCAACCTGACTCGGGGCTCCTGAGTGATTCCTGGCGCGGGCTGGCCTGGAACTGGAAGTAATATTAATGGGCCGAACTGGGGATGTGTTCTGCGGATTGGGTTGGGAGATGCGGGTTGTTATGGGCTCAACCCACAATCCGTCCTTAACACTTCGGATCAAAAGTATAATGAGCTAAAAATTAAAAAATAATACTGTGGATTGTTTTTTTTGGGTTGGGTTGAGACGGTGCGGGGTGAGTTTGCGGGTTATTCAGGTTTATGAACACCCCTACTCACGCGCTCTCTCTCCCCGCCCCTCTTTCTCTGCTCTCTCTGTCGTGCCATGGCTGGAGAAGACATTGATGATGGCGTGGGAAGCTAGTTGTCGCCGTCGTCATCCGTCACAGCTTCGTTGAACTCCGGCTTATCTCTGCGCCGTTCGTCTCAAATCGAGGACGCCGCGGACCTCATATCCTTCGCCTCAGATCGACGACGCCCCGACCATCCGGCACCGCTCGTGGATCTCGCCGAGTTCGAGATCAAGAGGATCGACGTTCTGGCCTTTCACCAACTCGAGGCCCCCCTTCGTTCGTGGATCTCATCTCGTTCTGACTCTACCATCCCCTTCGTCTTGTCTCTGGCAGCGAGGTATCTTCGCGAAGGCGATCTCATCAGAACAGAGACGGCCACGAACTCACCGGATCTCCAGATCTGGGCCATTTTTCTAAAGGTATTATTCTTTTTTATTCTTTGCTAATCGCCCGCTTGTCTTCTCTTGATTCATTACATATGTTTATCATTGGATCTGTTGGGCGTTTATGTTATTTATTTATTTATTTGTTGTTGCTTGATTTGAATCGAGAACCGAAGAAACCAGCACTATGATACAAGGTTCCATAACTGATTTTACTTTTGGCAACAACTGAAGCACTTGTCCATGTTTGTCTTTAAGCCAGATTGTTCGCATTCACCTTTACTGATTTGAGAAAACAGGTTTCCTGCAGCAATTAAATAGGATTTATCAATAGGAAAAAAAAAAAAAAAAAAAAAAAAAAAAACCCCTACAATTCAGATCCAAGGGTGTGTTTGTGTTTGGTTGGAAGTAATGGAATGCAAAGGAAAGGCTATTCCACCAAATTCTATTGTTTGGTTCTATTTTTTTTTTATCAGAAAGGGCTTTCGGTAGGAAAGCCCATTCACTCAATTTGAGTGAATCGCGATTCACGCGGGGCTGATGAAAGGCCTTTTCATTTAGGCCTGATTCCTTTTTTGTCCAAATTGTTCTTGATTGAGAGAGAGGAAGCACCGGCGTCAGTTGTTGGTTCTAGCTTCACTGGCGCCTCATGTTGGAATATTTGTACGTGGACTTCCATAATCATAATAATTCACTCTATTATAAAATAAAGCATATTATAGGCAACTTTGTTAATGTCAATTAATTAATGCATGTATGTCAAATATTAGTCCATAATGGGATGGATACACAATTTATTAACTAGCTTGAGGCCTATAAATTTCCTCTCCTGTAGTCAACCTATTGAGCCAAATAACCTCTCTAGCACAAATTATAAAGCTCAATTGAACCACTATAATATAAGCCCATTAAGTTTGGTAAACTCTCTACATATATGAGTGTTATGGGGGCTTTAAGTGTGGATAAGGTAGAGTGTGTGGTCAATATTTTTTTTTTGGTTCCAGCACCTCATCTCTGACCCATTCCAGTTCGAGGTTCTCGGTATGTTCTTATTTTGATTCCAGTTGGAGGATTCTCTTATTTTGATTCTAGTTCGTATATGTTCTGTTAAATGAATTGTTAGATCTGATGTTACGTCTGGTGTTCCAGATGATGTTGAAACACTATCTGGAACACTACTAGCTTACTTTACTATTCTCATTAATTTTGCTAAAGAAAACAATAGTGCAGAAAGTAAATAGACACGCAACATGATATCGCAGTTCGGTGCGCACACCTACATCTGCGGGGCCACACCCAGACAGTAAATAGTTTCACTATGCTTTAAGAATTACAACACTGACAAACTTATTCACTCAAGGACTCCTTCCTGGACTATGATGCCGCTGTGATGAACCCTCACAATGACTCTGTTTAGCGTGCTCCACACGTCTTCAAAACTAACAACTGAACTTTTTTCAGTCGAACATACTTTCACACAAAAAGACTCAGAAATTTCAATGAGTTCTTTCTACTCTCAACAACCACGTTTTGGAAATTTCTTCAGCCAACAAAAACGTCAACTTGTTTTGCTGTAACTGAAACCTTTTATATGATTTTTAAAAAGGTTCCCATAATCTTGCTCAAATACGATTCTTTTATCTTTTTCTCCATGATTCTCTCTGATGTGATTTGCATAATCTTCTTTTAAATTTGAATTCCAAAGACTTCGGATTATCCTTCCTGATCTCCAAATCCGAATCTCATTAGGAAATCAGATCAAATACGAATTCAAATAAAGAATCGAGATCTTCACTTGCTTTGCTTTATCTTCTCCTTATCTCTTTCTAGAATCTCATTTAAATTCAAATAACTAATGCATTATCTTACTTTGATCAAGGCCTTATCATTATCTCTCCAAATCTGATTTCGAATCTTATTCTGCAATACGAAATCTTCTTGAACCTGTTTTTTGAATTTTTACAAGATTGTCAATAAATTGTCAACTAATAAAAATACCTAACAATCTCTCCTTTTGACATTTTTTGGCAAAACTAACAACAGATCCTAAAAAATTCAAAAACGACAAAAAAATAAAATAAAATAACATTGTTCTCCCCATTTTTGTCAAAAATAAGCAAAAGACAAAAAAAATAAAATAAAATAAATTCACACCCTAGAACCGTCTTCAGCACCTCACTCCTCCTGAATCTTCTCTGTGTCTTACTCTCCCTGAATGTAGCATTCTCCTATGTATAAGGCTCTCGCTTAATGCAAACCAGCATCACTACACCCATAATCATTAGTGCATGCTTCTAAAGAAGTATAAGTCCTATGACACCTCAAATCAAATTTTCTTACCCACACACGTGTGAAAAATTTATTTTTCACATCAATCTTTACGTTAGGTGTCTTCTTTGAGTTTGCGGAATTTGGTGGATTAATAAACATACCTCTGTTCAAAGCATTTAAATACTTGTAGCATCTCGATCTTATGTTGCCAGGTAAACCGCAGTAATGACATGTGGGAACAAACCTTCTCTGTCGAGGGGATGAGATAGTAAACCTTCTTACTGGAGGAAGTCAGAGGCTTAGAGGTAGTCTTCTCTTTCACAAACATTGTCTTGGACGTTGAGCTCTTACCAATATAGGCAAAGTCATGTCGATCACCACTCGCTTTTCCTATAGAGATAATGTGATCCAGTTTTGTAGTGCCGGAATTCATTATCTTCAATGACTTTTGAGTATGCTCTAATTCTGCATTAACTTCCTACAGTCTTTTATCCATTTCAGCAATCTTGGACTCATGGTTAATCTTTAGAGCCTCCTTACCTTGTAAAGTATTAGCCAATTTCTTTTCAAGGGACTTGTTCAACTTGACCACATGAATCCATTTGTTAAATATTGATTCATAAGCCTCCTGAATAGTCTCCTGTGTCAGTTCTCCATCATTACTGAAACTGTCAGAATCAGAAAGATCTTTGTTTTCTTCTGATTTTTCTGAGTGTATTGCAGATGATGTTCCAACATTGTTTGTGACACGATCTGCAACACTGTTGTTGGAAACATCCTGATATACATTAAAAGCGACGTAATTGTTCACATGATCATCATTTTCTTGACTACCATCAGATTCTTCATCACTCCAAGTAACATTGAATGTTTTCTTCTTCTTCTTAAGCATATTTGCGCATTCTGATTGGATGTGTCCATATCTGTCACACTCTCGACACTGGATGCCTCGGTTTTGTGTCTTGGCTTTTGAATTGCTTGCAGAATCTGTATTCTTCTTGATGTTGTTGAATTTGTCAGAATTTGAAGTGAATCCCTTACGTTTTACTCGTTTCAAAATGTGATTGAAATTCTTTGTCAGAAGAGCAAATGATTCTACCAAACCTTGTGGATCTCCTATATCTTCTTCCATAGCCGGTTTTTGTAATTCTGCTTGAAAGGCAGTATCTTTCTCCTGCTTGTTCTGGCCCAGATTCATCTCAAATGTTCTCAATGATCCCATCAACTCATCAAGTCTCATAGTTTCAATGTTTTTTGCCTCTTCAATAGCGGTGACTTTATAGGCGAATCTCCGTGGTAAAGATCTCAATGTTTTGTTGACAAGTTTTGCCTCGGGAATATTTTCACCATTAGCAAAAGATTCATTAGCTATATCACACAATCGTGAATTAAAATCAGAGATGGTTTCAGTTTCAAGCATTCAAAGATTTTCAAACCTGGTTGTGAGGATATTCAATTTTGATTGTTTGACCGCAGCTGTTCCTTCATGAGCAACTTCCATAATCTCTCATGCTTCTTTTGCCGATTCACATGTAAAAATCATCTTGAACTGGTTAACATCGACTCTGTTGAATATTGCGCATGAGTTGTAATTGGCCAACTTGTCTTCATCAGTACTCCATGACTCTTCAGACTTGAGAGTCTCCTTTCCTTCTGCATCCTTAGTTACTGGATGCTTCCAGCCAGTCAGGACTGCACGCCATGCCTTTTCATCTTGAGCCTTGATGAAAGCCTCTTCATTCAAGCCTTCCAATAAGAATAATTTGAGCCATCAAGGAGAGGTGGACGAGACACTGAACCTCCTTCCTTCAGCAAATCCATCTTAGACGTAGCAGATCAATTTTTTCAAGATCTCACCGAACTTCTAGTCAGTGAACCTCTCTGATACCACTTGTTAGATCTGATGTTCTAGATGATGTTGGAACACTATCTGGAATACTACTAGCTTACGTCTGATTAACTTTGCTAAAGAAAACAATAGTGCAGAAAGTAAATAGACACGCAATATGATATCGCAGTTCGGTGCGTACACCTACATCTGTGGGGTCACGCCCAGACAGTAAACTGTTTCACTATGCTTCAAGAATTACAATACTGACGGACTTATTCACTCAAAGACTCCCTCTTGGACTATAACGCCGTTGTGATGAACCTTCACAATGACTCTGTTTAGCGTGCTCCACACGTCTTCAATACTAACAACTGAACTCCCTTTAGTCGAACATACTTTCATACAAAAAGACTCAGAAATTTCAATGAGTTCTTTCTACTCTCAACAGCCACGTTCTAAAAATTTCTGCAGCCAACAAAAACGTCAACTTGTTTTGCTATAACTGAAACCTTTTGTATGATTTTTAAAAAGATTCCCAGAATCTTGCTCAAATACGATTCTCTTATCTTTTTCTCCGTGATTTTCTTTGATGTGATTTGCATAATCTTCTTTTAAATTTGAATTCCAAAGACTTCGAATTATCCTTCCTGATCTCTAAATCCGAATCTCATTAGGAAATCAGATCAAATACGAATTTAAATAAAGAATCGAGATCTTCACTAGCTTTGCTTTATCTTCTCCTTCTCTCTTTCTAGAATCTCATTTAAATTCAAATAACCAATGCATTATCTTCCTTTGATCAAGACCTTATCCTTATCTCTCTAAATCTGATTCTGAATCTTCTTCTGCAATACGAAATCTTCTTGAACCTGTTTTTTGAATTTTTACAAGATTGTCAATAAATTGCCAACTAATAAAAATACCTAACATGAATATTGTACTGCCAACTGCGTGCACAGGAAGGAAAATGAAGAAAGAACGCGAAATTGATAATATGAACCCTGATTTTGCAGGGCTTATCGGCCTCAGACAGTTTCCACAATAAATCTCTCTTTTGATTTCCGAAAATGGCGAAGCAGCAGCTCTCTCTGGCACAGCCATGGGTACTCGAAGCGGTTCCTCTGATGGTGGTCATCCTTATAGCAGCTCATGTTTTCGCTTTGGTATTACAGAAATCGAAAATCTTTTCAAATTTCTTCAGCATATTTGCTTCCATTAGAAGCTGATCTCTGATTTTGTTTCTCCAATTGGCTGTTATTACAGGTGTATTGGATATACAGATTGGCCACCGAGAAACAGCCACAGAGGAGAAAAGCGCACTGATGAACCCACTTGCAGGAACGAAACGGGGAGGTTGGTGGAAACCCTAATTTGTTGACCTGTTTAGACATTATGTTGGAGCGCATTGGAAATTTACAGGAATTAAGGACATTAAACGGATTCATATAGAGTGCTGGCTGAATCTTTATGTGTCTAATATTTTTTGTTCTCTCTTTTTGGGTTTTATTCTCATGATATTATGTATATGATTAGACTGATGGAGTGGTTTTGTTGTTGTTATTTAATGTGTGATTGATTCGCTTGTTTTGATTCTCCGATAGTATAAAGAGAAGGAAAAGGAGCGGGACCTTTTTTTTTTCCCCTTGTTATTTTGATCTTCAAGAATTGTGCTAAGCATCATTTACCGTCTAGAAGGTAAATGAGCTATTCATGTTGATGTTTCATTTTTTACTCTTTGTTGTTTTAAATGCAGTTTGGTGCATTACAGAACGCTGGATTGATGTCGTTGATAATGGTATGTGCTTAGCCCTGGTCAAATTTCTTGGAATCAAGGGTATTTTTGTCAAAATATAATTTACTTCCATTCCGTTGTCAACCAAACAACATAATTCTTATTTTAAGTATTGATTCTATAACTCCAACCAAACTAAAGAATCAGTTTTATGATTCCAGCACATTTCAATTCCATTCTATTATCATTCCTATTACCATTCTGTTACTGTAACCAAACGCAACCTAAGTGCATAGGTAAAAGAGGACTTCCTCCCCAATAAAGTAATAGGAAAAGCAGAAATATAAACAAATTTTGGTATGCAAACCGCTTTACTTTCATTTCTTGCATCCTAGTAAAACGGAGTAGACAATACGCAAGAATCAGCTCGCTTGTTGCCACAAAATTTTTGGATTTTGCTTTTAATGTTTGGTTCAAATGCACATAATTGGTCTCTTAAGTGGTTTAGTTGTGTTTTAACAGGTGCAGAGGGGAGGAAAATCAAATTCTGTTGGTTGAATGTAAGCAAAAAAAAAAAAAAAAAAAAAATCAACTGGATGGATTTGAAATCTATAGATTTCAGGAATTTGTGAAGGCAAATATTGGATAGTAGATCGTAATTGGATTTGTGACTAGAACTGTGTATTCGTTATTATTGATAATGTGTTATTATACTGCATTTTGATCTGGTGCATTTAGCTAATTTGAAGTTTTTTGTTAATTTTGAAAAAGTAATGCGGCAGATTATGACAAGCAAATAGATTGGCTTAGTTTTTTTTTATTTCTTTGGATCTATCAGATATTTTTGTTTAGATTCTTTAGCTTGGTCTGCTTGTTTATATTCGAAGCAGTATATTACATGAAACTTGTTGTGATAGGATTAACAATGCAGAGGAAGATGAAGTCAAAGATTAGGGATGAAGTCAAAGATTAGGCATAGATTGTCACAATTTGGGATTTGCACTAGTAGTTGGAATGTTGGATGGATGCTTATGTTTTTATTTATTGATGAATGATAATCATTTACTACCTTTGTCACTGTTAAAAGTGTTGGAGAAAAAGTTATTATGCTCCATCTGCAGCAACCTATTTTATTTGCAGATTTTTCAATTTGAAGTTATATGGTGTGATGATTTGTTCGGTACCATTAAGCAAAATTAGGAATCGGAAACTGATTCTAATTGAATTTTTGACTTTTGTTTGTTGTTTAGAAATCAAAAGTAGATCCTATTCGAAATTTTTATGGTATTTTTCTATCTAAAATCAGAATAATGTGTTAGACTATAAAGAATTTTGTTTCAGTATGATCCTATTTGAAATTTTGTATCAGTCTTACAGACTATGGGTGAGTTACAGTCTGTCCGTCTGTCGGACTGTGACGACAGGCGTAATCTGTTAGATTATGATTCATAGTCTGACAAGTTATTACCGGCTATCGGTGCAACTTGTCACACTAATCTATAGTCTAACAGACTATGGTCCGTGCCAATATAACTTGTCAAATTATGGATCATAGTTTGATCATAATCATCAGTCTGTCAGGTTATGAATCAGAGTCTGATAGATTATGGTCCGTGCCAATATAACTTGTCAAATTATAGATCATAGTTAGATCATAATCATCATAGTCTGTCAGGTTATGAATCATAGTCTGATAGACTATAGAGCATAGTGTGAGACTATGGAGCATGGTCATCTTAGTATGTCAGACTATGTATTATAGTCTGACAGACTATGGCCGCCGGAGCATAGTAAGAATCATATTCCTGAAAAAGTGATGGGGGTAATATAATTTTTAAAAATAATACATTATCGTGTTTGGTTCCATATAAAAATTTTGTATCAAATTCTCAGAAATAATATATTACTGTGTTTGGTTGTGCATAAAAATGTTGTGTATTAAAAAAACATTTTTTAAATGAGTTACAATTAGCCTAATTTTTTTAAATGAATTACAATAAAAAAAACATCTTGCTCATTGATGGGGAAAAAAGAAATAAGCATACTGACTATAAAGAAAAAATTCAGCCATGTATATAACGGATTCAACAAGAAATATATTCAACCAACGGCAATGGTCATCATTAACGGATTCAACAAGAAATAGAATCAACCAAAGGCAATGACATCGTTAATGGATTCAACAAGAAAAATAGAGATATTTTCTATCTCTGGTGTAAATCTGAACCTGAGGTAGAAAAGACGATTCACCCACCTTATTAATGACGCTGATATTGGTTTTTAGGATATTTCTTTTATTTTTTTATAACCAAAAAAAGGGTACTCTAGTCTTAGAACTTGATAAACATGAAGGCATGACCGTGGACCAAACATGGAGGATACCCACTAGTTAAATTGTTTCAAAACTTGATAAACATGAAGGAACCACCATGGACCAAACATTTTTTGGTTAGCCTTATCTGATAGAACCCGGTGTGTTAACAGGAACCCCGAAGGTTGATCCCATCCCTGTCAGGGGAGATGCCAACCATCTCTTCTTTCTAAGAAACACCACCATGGACTAAGGAAGCTGCTTTTCCTTCTTATCTGTGGGTTTTCTTTGATAATGTTCTTGGGTATGTTTGGTTGCTGAGAAATCTCAGAAATTATAATTAAAAAAAAAAAACTAGGCTGATGCGGCGGATTCAACAAGAAGAAAAGAAGAAAAAACCAAGAAAATAATATACCCTGGTGGTGGCAGAACTCCGGCAATGGCGTGGTTGAATGGATGACGGTTAAGGCTTATTTCTTTTTTTCCCTGATATTAAACTTTTTTGGGAAAGTAAATAACACTATCTTAGTTAGGTTTAGAATTACCCCAAAATGTGATAATGTGAAATTCACGGGCTTTATTTTCCTGAGTTTTAAAAAAGTCTAATAATTATACTAAATATGAAAATCTGTAAGATTCTCATTCCCACCCTTAAAATTACTAAATTCCAAACGCCTACTAAGAATTTACTTTGAGAGTATTTTGATAATCTACATATTAGACTTTTGATTAATATTTAATTAGATTTATTCTAAAGGGATAAAAATAGAATGAGTAATTTTTAAGGGTTAATAATAATTTGTTGTACTATTTTAAGGGATAGTTATAAAAATCTCTTGACTAATAATGGTATTTTTTTTTGTAGGATTTTATGGTTCATGTTTTTGATGATGATGATTCGGATTTAACGACCCATCTTATGATAATTATGATGAAGAGAATGATGATATGCATCTACATATATGACATGTCATATTAGGTAATAGATTGTATTATACACGTTTACATTGCACAAACTTTTTTGCCAATATCAATGTTTGTGTCTTCTTAATTTTTTGTAAAAACAAATTAATCTATACACATGCATGTTCTATTCTGCAAAAGTAACATTGACACTGCTAGCTAGTACTAATTAAAATTAATGCTAATTGCTAGCCAAACAGCACCAATCTAACTTGTTATTTGTTCTCGAGCTCTTTTTCCAGATACTAATGGTTTTGGATTTCAGGAACTAATGGCGTTGGAAGAACAAATCGGGGCCGTCCAAACTGGATTAAGGGGAGTAGATATTATAACCAATCTGAATCGACGAACGTGTCAGTCCGGGGTTGTAACTTCAGCAAATCATGAAGATGGATACCTATTTGCTGCATTTGTCAGGTAATAATTCCCGGCAGATTATGTGTTAATTGAAACGATTAATCATTTTCTTTATTTCTTATTTCTCAATTTTATATGTCTACGTAATGCACACGCTTAATTAGCCTAAACAAATTAAAAGTTCATTTTTTCCCCATTTTTTGTGAAACTACTACTTTCAGGAGGAATTTTGTGATGGAGAAGAAGGTGGGAACCTAAGAATGTGGACATAAATTTTACTTTTTTTTTATACAATGCGAAATTGAACCCGTAATTCTTTATTTATAAATTTTCACCTCACTGAAACCTTCCAGTGTCACTATTTTGGGAAGCTAGAATGTGGGTATGAATTTCAATTTGGCCTCGTTCACTTCGCGGATTCGATTTTTCAATTCGAGCTAAGATGTGACATTTTCTCAGAGTTTTTTACTGTAACAGAAAAAGTTAGATGTGACATTTTCTGAGAGCTTTTTACTGTAGAAACTTAAAACTGAAAACTCGAATCGGTGAAATAAACGAAGCCTTTGACTGTATCAAACAATGGCTCGTTGAGAAGAACTCTTGTCCCATATGCAAAACGGACAGCCGTGATTGTTAGGAGATCATAATCAATTAGGGCTTAATATGCGTAGATATATACGTAGTGATACTTATGACATTTTTTTATTATACTTTAACAAAAGTATTTTTATATCTTTTTTTTTTTTTTTTTTTTTGTTCATAGGACTAGGTTTTTCCGACTTATCATTAAATAGGACTAGGACGGTGTACTTTGTTGACTGCAACACCCCAACGAGTAAGTACCAATATTAGTCTAGATATGAGTACTACCTCAAGCCGTTTCATTGGGCATGGGCATGATCCTACTATTGGAGAGAGTGTTACGCTATAGATTCGATTTTGTAATTTTTCAATCTTCTTGGCAGAATTAATAATGGAAAAAAAAAATAATTTTTTTAAATCAATTTTTTTACATGTGATTTCCCTTGTTATACTTTATAATCATAAATTATAATTTTAAATTTATGAATTAAACGTAATCTTAATTAGTCTGCCGTATATGCTGAAAACTACGGATAGGACTTTTACTTGGGGACATTTTTCCCTTTTGATCAACTTGCCACGGCTTTTAATAAATAATGGGTATGTACTTGCTTTTGACGCAATAGAAATGAAAAAGATACCAAAAAAAAAAAAAAAATGATTTACTATGAACCTTTGAAAGCTCTACGAGCTAAGAAAGAAGCAAAACTTGCTCAATTACAATCATTAGATCTGTCCCTTTCCAATGACAAAACATAACCATATCCTCTTTTACAACCAAATCGACAGCACTACTAATAAAAGACAAAAGAAATATCAAAACTAAAAATATATATATATATATAT